ATGCTCGCCGTTTCCGGAGAATGAGCTCCTGATGGAGCCCTTCTCGAACCCCAGATTCTCATCCATTACTTCCATCACCTTCTCAGCCAGCTTCCTCAGCTCTTCCCTGTACTCCTTCATGGTCTCCCTGCAAGATTGCGCATGAAGAGGGCATACGTTAGGCACTTATAACTACATATCAATTAGCCTGACGAGCCCTGAGTGGAAGTTGATGATCACCTGAACTCTGGAGGGTTGGCAGGCCACTCGTTGTCATCCTGGAGAAGGAAGACATCCTCCCAATCCACGTTATCCAAGCGCTCGGCATCGGCGGCGTCGCCTTCTTCTTCCACCAGCTTGTTCAACAGCTGCACAGGTTTGGACGCCTTGAAGCCCTCTGCTCTGAGCCTGTAGCACTCGGAGCACACCTTCTTTACGCGTTCCAAGAGCTCCACCGGAATCCCATGGTTCACCAGCTGCAAACAGGTCAGGTAGATTCCTCTGCTTTAGTACCAGCGTCAACTCGAAAAGATCCCAGTAAGGAGAAAGAAGGAACCGGACAAATGGGATGCAAACCTGAAAGAATCCCCATTCTTGGCATCCATTGGCAATCCGTGCCAAGGTTTCAGCTCTTTCCCTCCCCTCCAACTTCGAGAAATCGATGACTGGAATGGCCATTTCTAGCGAGGAGGAGATGATGCTCTGGTTGCAAATTATGCTTCTGTATTGCTTCTCGAATGGATCGATGAAGAGAAATGGAGCCAACTGGGACCTTTTATACTGCATCAAGCTTCCCTATCAAATCTCACATACCAATCAGAGGAAATAACCGGGAACTAAGCCGTGTTCCTGGTCAAACCTTTTCTCCATGGTCAACTAAACCGCCATCTTATCCCATCTACGAGGATATCAGCTCATGAAATAAACGACCAAAACGTTACGATGCAGCTCGACTTTGGAAAATGTGAGGTCACGTCGATAAGATGTCTACCCAAAACCCCCTCCTATACCGAATGTTGACCGGCTTTGACTATGAACCCTACTCGAGGCTTCCTGGTTTCCATCGTGGCTATACGACATATTTCGTTTCTTCAGTACATTGCTCACAAGCTCATTCCTTGTTTTAAGCCTTGAGATCATGTACTTGATTGAGGATGTAACAAATATAAGAATGTCTTTTTATGTTTATCTTTATTATGATCTTCGATCATGCTTTCGCAAGATTGAGCTTTGGTCAATGATGTTAATCTTGGACCGACATTTCAAAAGGTTGTCGGTGATTTTTATTGCTAATACAATCATCACAATGAATTAAAATTTTACTTGATTTGAAATTTGGAAGAAAGTAAGGAGAGATTAACTATTGTTGATTGCATGATGACAAATGATCAAGACGATGATGTCACACATTGAATGGAGTAGTAATTGAAACAAAAATGATTGATTGGATGATTTATGAAATTGATAATTATTCATAAATATTATCTTTATTTTAACATTCGATTAAACATGCGCTTGTACTCAGATCCTTTACAATAAACAAGTTAAGAAAAAAATTCGATAGTATAATGGAGTTATTTCCTAGGTTGTGTGGTTGAATTTATTTTCTGAGCTATTAGAGTTGAACTTACCATCATGTTTGTATAGATAAGAGTGTAATAGAGGATGATAGCTCTATTTATTACCCAAGTGTTTAGGAGACTTCTTGTTCAATCATTTATTGAAGTTATTGCTGCTTTAATTGTCTTTTCCTTTAGATTTTTGATTGAATTAAGTTGTGATAGTTGGTATTATCTTCATCTCTTCTTATTTCAAATACGTTTCATAATCAATCATCTTATCATATAGTTTTTCAAATAACATTAACGAGTCACGTGCTCGAATTGTTGTCACTAGTTTTTTATATAACATTGATGAGTCACGTGTTCGAATTATTATCACTAGTTTTTTATATTATCTCTTAGGCTATTAAGAGTGTGAACAATTATTTCTTCATCACTAAGGATAACTTATTAAAATCAAATTATCTATAATAATTGTTAGATTTTTTATATAATCAATAATAGTACTTTTCCTTGGGTTGCTTTCATCAAATTAGAAAAAGATTTAACATTACGAGTGTGAGAATTCGCAAAGATGGTTTATAACTTGGACCATGCTTCTATCATAATATTGAATGAAAGAGATTAGTGGTATTATAGAGCTAGAAACTGAATGACTTATAGAATAAGACGATCTTGACATAACCATAATTTATGGTTAGAATTTGCCATTAGGATTGGTTCTCATTGTACATGGATATCTTTGGGTGGACAATTGAAGGAGCCATCAATATAACATAGCAAATCATATCCAAAAAGAAGCTTGATAAATCAAATTTACTAAGATGTATAGTTTCTACTTTTGGAGAGTTCGAATGGAATCAATATTATTGCATTAATAGAGATGAGTCTTGCAGGTGAAGAGCAAATTTTGTTCCTTAAGGGAACAATCACTGGAGTATCAAAATTAGAAGAGGAAGAAGACATAATTGTTAAATAATCAGAGGAAAGGACACACCAAAGTAGTGGACAGTAGCAAATGATGCAAAGTTTGCCACATTATGAAGCGTCAATGATGGCCTTGGATCAAATCAGCTTATCAGAGAGGGGAAAGATATATCGTAGATTGCTAGAGTGTCACAGACAAACTTTTAAATAGGATATTTAATGTAATGCTTATGTATGTCTATATCGTTTGGTTTTTCATGCTTTGTATAGCATGTAGAAGGACGGTCGAAGACTTTACAACCCTATTTTAGTTGGGCTTGGTGGCCATTTTAGACTTGTAAATAAAGATTGAATCATGTGGATACTTGTGAGAGATCTCGGTCTGTAGTAGACCATTTTGACCTTTTGTTGTGCAACCGTTCAAAGCTTGTAAAGTCTGTTTGTAATTTACATTAGTTATAAAGTGTTTTCTGAGATGTTTGCTTGTGTATCCCGAGTGAGATGTTTTCTCTAACTCGTTTTCTCTTTTGTAGGTCCTAAGGAACCATGGAAGGTTTCAAGGAGGTTGACCTTTGCAGACGGATACGCAAGGGTGCCGCAAGACTTAGGCAAAACAAGCTAAATCCGTAATAGGAGCTAGTCAAATCAATGTGGTGGATGAATGATCAGATCAGTAATGGAGATGGGAACAATCGTCGAAGGCGACGGATCAGACCAGTGTCATTGGAGGATGGATAAAATGATCGAGGTGGTGGAGCAAATTTGTTGCGCAGATCATGAAGGGGAGATCGCTCTGTCATTATTGCTACGACGAGGAGGCAGTGTCATTGTTGCAGACCAATGATGACCGGTGTTGCTATTGCTACAGAACATATCACGAAGGGGAGATCGCATTGTCGTTGTTGCTACGATGAGGAGGCAGTGCTATTGTTGTTGTAGCAACAACAATATTTATGGGTGAGGAGGAGCAACAGAGGAAGCTATGCCAGGCAAGTTAATGAGAAGAGAAAATCAATGATGGAGGGCGGTGGTAGGAGAGAAGAACAAATTTGTGATAGATTTGACGTTAGAGAAGGATCGTTGGGCAAAAGAGAAAATCGATAATGAGGTAATCGGTAGGTCAATGAAGAAGAGAGACTACGATCACCAAACAATGAGGAAGGAGAAGTCGAAGAACTTGTAAAGAGTCATGATTGTTTTAATTAAGGTGATGTGTATTTATACATATTTTAAATTTTTTTCTTAATTATATACTCAAATTACTCAATTAAAATATACAGATTGATTTTTAAATTATAGATTTATTTAAGATATAAGAAATACAAAAATATCATTTATATTTATCTCTATCGTGATTTAAAGAATATCATTATATTTACCTTTGTCATTATTTCTATTAACATGAAAGAACCGTAGAAATCAGAACTTATGTGATCATAGTCGAGAGGCTGACGACTCGTTTTATTCATTACATGCGAAGAATTAAATCGAAGGAACAGTATATCTTAATGAACGACGTGCACTTTTGCTATCCTCACACGGCTGTCACCGCCGCAAACCGCGGCTCCTT